AAGAGGGGAACTCTCCTGGAATGCCTCAAACTGAACGTCGTATTACTCGTTTATGAGTGGGTTTTCGAAGTTATTATTAGATAATACATATGATATGTATTCACCCTATTTCGTTTTAAGTTAAAAGAGGATTTGGTGTTGAATTTTCCTTAAATCACATGATTAGGCATTACGTTTCTATTGAATTTCACACATCCTTGCTTCCTAAAAGGTATTCTAATCCAGGTTGGAGTGGACTGAGGTTTAGACTTCGCCGAGGTCTCATCAGCTTCCCTAGCAGGACTCGAACCGTGCTTGCAAGCTTGCGGTGTTAACCATTAAAGGGCACTTGTGAGCTTCAAGGAATGCCACACCTTTTCCCATACTGTATTTTCTGGTAGGATTGTTGATGTAACCAGTTGTATATGCTATAGCAATTGACTACATTACTTATTTTTAGTTTTTAAGGGGGTTTTCGAGCCACCCGTATGTATGAACATCTCGAAATACTTCCTATGGAACGAAGAATAATTAACTTAGGTGTGAAGACCAAGATGGTGTGGCTTTTTGTGTGATTGCAGTCTCCTTTCGTTGTATACAAGTTATTTGACCTTGTTTTCGCAACTTGGTCATATTGGTGGGAAGACTTAGAGCAACGCACCTAGTCCGGAGTCCATTGTATGCATGATCATTTCCAAAGAGACTTGTCTCTGACGCGTTGTTGTATGGTGCTAAGAATGGCGATACTCACTGACGATGCCGGCGAAACGTTTGGGAATGTACCACGTCCACGGTTCAACTTTGGAAATGATGATGCATACAATGAACTCCGGACTAGATGCGTTCCTCTAAATCTTTCTACCAATATGACCATGTTGCGAAAACAAGGTCAAACAACCTCAATAAGTAACTTAGTCGATTGCCATAGCAAATACAACTTTGCTTCATCGACAATCCCACCACGGAATATGATATGGGAAAAGGCCTGGCCTTCTTTGAAGTTCACATGTGCCCTGTGATTCAAGGGCCTTCGTATGGCGCAGTGATTAGCGTGTCGAGATTATACGCTGCTCGAGTCACTCTGGGAGTGCTGATGAGACTAAGCCGTCCAGCCTGGATGAGTGGAGCTGTGTCGTGTCACCATGGTGCCCAGAATCCGGTTTCGAATCCATTTCACGTGCTGCTAATGCGCCCAGGTGAG